ACTTTAAAACCCTTGGTTGTTTCAGTGCACTGATGTAGAAAATCAGGATAAGGGTTAAAATATTTACAAATTTCTAAACGATTCTGGAAAAATTAAAGCACGAATGAATTAAGAACAGTAATTAAAAAATAAAATAAATATGGCAATATTCCTTGTTAAGAATAAGAACATCGATAAATGGCATATGGACACACACTGATATGCACCTGTATAAATTTATAAATAGCCATTAAACTATGATAAAATGATCTTTTTGATCATTCAACTTTTTACAAAGTTACAAAATGAATATTAAATTTTAGATTTAGTTAATAAAGGAAGCATTGACACTTAACTATTGTTATGGGCTAATGTGACATATTAAATTAATAAAAATATCTCATTTGTTTCATAAATTATGACTAAAATTTCGTTTTTTATTTTTTTCAATAATTTTAAGTAATAATTCCAAAAAATTTAGAAAAATAATTTTCTAAATATATAGATTTTAAAAATTTATTTTGAAATTTTAAATATATTTTTAAGATTATATTTAAAACTATTAAACAAAAGTTAAAGAATTGAATCACATTGTTTAATAAAAAATGATTTCATTTTTATAACTGAAATTATTGAATCTCAAAAATTATAAATGATAATATTTCAAATATAATATCAATCAAATAAAAAATAATTATAAACATTTTGTGAATTAATAAATTAATATTTTTTAAATAATTATAATTTTATGAATTAAAATATTAATTATAAAGTTATAATTTTAAAAACTTTTATAATTTTAAAAATGAATTATGAATATATATATATATATATATATATATATATATATATATATATATTATATATATATATATTCAAAAATTGATTTTTTAGAATTCTTACTTCGAAATATTAAAAATATCAAAATGAAATTAGTTTACAATTGAGGGTACAAATAAGATGTGATATTCATTTTATAATACAATTGAGGGGTTGAATGAGATATTATGTAACTTTCAAAACTATTATTTTAATATAGTTTAATGAACATTTAAAAATTGTACCATGCAAAATTAGTGGTACATTTCAGTGTGTGACATGTAGTGTAGAATTTTCCAATGGCACATTTAACTTTTTTAAGGATATTTAATTTTAACAATTTAGACTGAATTTGTAATACTCTTACCCTTATTTAATTCTTAAATACAAGTCAGAATGTCACAAACTGATTTTGTAACATTTAAATTTAAATCATTTATCAAGTAATATCACTTTCTAGTTTTAATTAACCAAAGTAAATCCAATTTTAGGTACTAACTTAGCAGTACATAACTAATAGCTGATTAAAAGTTTCCTATATTCAATCTTAATCAGTAGCTCCATTTTATGCTATTATTTACCAGATTATTAAACTTATAATTCATTTAACAATTACAAACACTAATATAAACTATACATTGTTTATTTTAACTATTATTCATCATTTCCAACATGACTAGCTTATTATTTATTACCAATTATATCTAAACTAGTAGAAACCAACTATTATTATATACATACCAACTAGAAATTTAAACTACATCAGATTGATGTAATTACTGATACTGTATATAAATCTCTTGATGAGTGAGATGCTTGATACTCCTTACTCCAATTTTCTACTTTTTACCTATGCGTAAAAGTCATCACACGCTAAGTAAAAACTTTGTGAGACACTAATAATAATCAATGCAATACAATGTATATATAAAGAAATAACAATACTTAATGCATCATGATCACTTTATCTGTATTACCTTTATGTTACACATATTAACATGAAATAAACAATGTATATAATTTCTTACCAATATACTTGTCATTTATTCAATAAGCTCACAAGCTTAATCATATGCTTATAATTTATTAACCAATAAACCATAGCCCAAATATAAGCCTATGAAAACCCTGGGTACACGAGTAAATATGCACCGAAGTGCTAATACACATAAGGTCGTACCCACCATATGCACTAAATGTCCTCTACATACATTATAGTGCTAAATCAAATATGCAGTTTGTTGCTAGACTCTATGGCATGCCAACTATACCACTGTCCCTCAATAACCTACTTGGACATATAATCTATATTTATTTTATTCATGTCATTATATCAACATAATTCAACATCGTACAATCCATACCCGAAATAACATTCATTATATAACATCATAAATAAACTAGTGATCAATGCATTTTATATTAACTTTTGATATATTTAAAATGTGTCAAATATATTATAAATGACATAAATATCATGCTAATATAAACAACGTAGACTCATTGCAAGTCTTCTTAATGATGTATAAAACATTTATGTATCATGTTATGTATGCATTGCACTCACCTTGACACTTTTCATATAAGTTAAAATATAAGTCTCACTAAGCTTTAAGCTCGATCTTTTTCCTTTCATTTTTTGCTAGTTAGATCTTGATTTTGAATGATGTCTATAAATACATCAAACATATAGCACAAATAATCAAAAGCACATGTTAAAATCCATCTAACCCATGCGCATATAGTGTAGGAAAAAATCATAATATTCATTCCAATACAACATTGTAATTACAATATTTCCTACACTTCATTCCACCTTAACTTACTTGAATTCACCTTTAAAATCACAATTTCACCTTAAGTCCTTATTTTTCTCTTTTAGGCTTTAAGGACTAATCATAAAAAAGTTGCATTTCAAGTCTAAATCCAATAATTTAATCATATAATTAATCATTAAAAAATAACAAATATCATAAATAATTCACTTGATTTTCCTATAAATTTTTCCTTAAGAAACTCATATTTCTTAATATAATCCATCACCTCACATTCCAAGGTGTTTTCAAGATCCAAACAAGAAGTTTAAATATGTATTGTAATTTTTTACCATAGTTTTCGTCAAATTCAAACTTTGAATAAAATTCCCAAACTTTTCCTAAAGTGTGTTTTGGTCACTATTAGGATTCAATCATTCTTCTTCGTTTCAAGCTTGAATAAACATGTTAATGTATACAACATAATATTCTCATCATATCTAACATAAAAATTTCATCTTTTCCAAATGAATCCCTAAAGGAAAACTAATGTATTTTTCATTACCTATAACATAAAATCAACATCACAACACCTATATCATCATTTTCAAGCCTTGAAACCTCAAATTTCAGCATCTTCTTCATCCACCCTTTTCATAAATTTAGGTTACAAACATGAACAACATGAAAAAATGGTACCAAATGAAAGAGAATTCAATGGAGAACAAAATTAGATTATGTCTTAACCTTAAATCTAATTTAAAATTCTTAAAAATCAATTTTAAAACTTACCTAAATGTTCCAAGGAGTTCACGGCAGCAGCACACAAAATGGAGAAATTCTTGAACTTTCCTTTTGTTGTATCTTAGTTCTTTTGGATTTTTATAACCTAATTGAATTTAAAATTCATTTTAGTCCAAAATAACTATTGTGACCTTAAAATCTAATGATCCTAATCATGTCACATATCAAATTTATCATACAAGGGCTGAAATTAATCCATGAAGTTAGTAGTTTACAACTTTACCTTTGTAAAGTTCCAAAATCACAATCTTGTCTTTTTTAATCTAATGACTAAGATTTAACATGGAAATCAACTTAAATTCAATGGCCCACATTAAATCTTATCATTTTAAAGCATGAAGAATACATTTTTCCCTTGCTTTATCATCTAGGAAAATTTCTTGAATTTTCGATTCGATCCGATTATCTGAATTTTTCTCGAACTTTCACACTTTATAGTTTTTAATACAAATTTTGTACGAAAAATCTGAAACCCATTAAAATGTCATTCTTGGGGGTAAACTATTCATTTATGTGACCATGTTATACAAATTTTTAAAATCACACTCTGATCTCTAAACTTTTCAAAGTTTATATTTTAGTCGTCAAACTTTTAATTTATTCATTTTGGTCACTGACCAAATTTTTGGGGTATTACACAATTTGTAAATCAGTATAGATAGACGTCTAACTTTTTATGTATATTTCACTTAGAAAACTAAATGGTAGAAAAGAGCACTTCAACATGTTGTGAAAACCTGATTTAAAAAAAAATCTAAAAGAAAATCTTTAATTTTAAAACAGTAACTCCGTTGTCAGTCGCCCTTATGATCATCTATCCACCAGTCGACAGAGTCCGCTACTTGCCATCCCCTTTTCGCCGAGACCTAGGAAGGCAACACCGACGAAACCTAGGAAGGCAATATGATTTGAATTTAAAGATCTGAGACTAAGGGGATTAGGACAAATGACAAGAGATGACCGAAATTTTTAGATTTTAGAGAAAATAATTAGGGTTTTTTCAGATTTTAGAGAAATTTTTGGATTTTTTAAATAATAATAATTTTAAATTTATTAAAAAAAATTTAAAAAAAATTATAAACACACCGCATGTCTTGTTTTGAATTTGAATTTTTTTAACAATAGTTAATGGCCAAACACCTTAAATAATAAGGAAATTAAGAAACATTAAATTCCTACATTGATAAAAAAAACATTAAGCACCTAAAATGAACAAAAAAACATAATTTAAATATTTATTTTTATTAAACCGTTAATATTATTGTAAAAAAATTAAATAGATAAAATATTTATAGATATTATTATTTTAAATTTTAATTAATATCAAATATTATATTTTGGTCACAATTACATTCTATACAATTGCCTTTGTAAAAAATGTTAGGCATAAAAAAACACCAAACATATGGTTTCAGTGATGAAAGAGAATATTATTTTCTCTAGAGATATTGAGTTCAAATAATTATATTTATAGGATATATGTGTTATCAATAAGTCAAACTTTAAATAAATATTACTTTATAATCATCACATACTATTAAAATTATAAAATCAGCGAACACTACCAAATCTTTATTGTTAATTTTATTTTTATCCTTTGAAGCATCCCAACACCAATCGTCCAAGCACATGAAATAATTTTCTTGAAAAGAATGTTCCTCACATAACAAGTAATAATCAATTGCCTCCAACTTGTCTCTTCCACGAGTCTTCCACAATCAACTCATCAACGCCCCAATCTTCATAACTGAAATGTTTCACCAAATGTTATCCGAATTGCTTAACAAACAAATACATTATTACCACCATCTCCAAATAACACCCCACCCAGATATGTCTCAAGGATTATTAAGTGGTTTGCAATTTTTAAAAATTTTAGATTTTTATATACTTTAAATATATTTTTATTTTTATTAATTATTTACTTTTGTATATATCTTCTAAAATTTTATAATGTTAAAGTTTCTAAAATTTTGTAATTTCACATCCCTATATTTCTACATAAATTCTAAAATACAACTCAAAATGTTATCTTCTTCCTAACATTTTCGGCCATGACATAAAATGTTACATATTTGTATAATTTTTTCAATTGTAAGACCTAAACTTCTCACAATGTAACTTTTCTATTGTAATCGAAAATAAACAAGATAACCTTTTAGGTCGAAAACAACCTTAAATTAAGTTGCCTCACATCATAATTACATATATTTCTATTATAACTTTATAAATTTATACCTCTCTGATCTGGGACAATGTATACAGAGACTGAAAGGAGCTCTTGTCCCTCCAAAAAAAAAAAAACTTTGGTCTAATAGCTTTTTATATCCCTATCAATTTGAACTTAATAAAATTAGACTTAATTCACAGTATTTTTTTAATTAAATATCTAATAAATTCATATTGTTTTGAATTCAGATACTTTACTCCTTCAAATATTTACTCGTAAAACTCCCTCCCAGCCTTAATATATTGCTGACTCCACCCCTTTTCTTCTTTTACTTTCCACTTTTACTCAAATTACAAAGTAAAACTACCAGACAGGATACGATGATCCATTCATATTATATAGAAAAATCTTACCTTCCACCAGGCAAGTACCGACGAATGGTGAAGGGGATTTTCCGCTCCCGAAGCTCTTTCATGGCAATCTAATATATAAATACAAATGAAAGAGTTATTTACAGCATGAAAATGATGAAATAAAGCTAAAAGAATTGCAGAAAATGTTAAAGCCCCCTAATAATTCATAAGTTTACCTCAAGTGGGTCAGATTCACCCTCCAGCTCAACCATAACTGGAGCATTCATACTGCACAGAACAAAATGTTAAAGCTAATCTAAAATAAAGCTGAAAAATCTGTAGTTTTTCAATTTAACCTGATTTGCAGAGCACGAGTACCCAATATTCTAGCACGCTCATATTTGGTCATGTACTTTGATGTTTTACGATTAACTTTGTCATTATCATCACGGTCGTCTTTATCTTCGGATTCAATAGGGTCAATTGGAACATCATCGTTGTTATTGTTTTCTACATCCTCCTCCGCTCCTTCCTGTGCATCAAAAACCAGACCGATAACTTCATCAATCGCATCAAATTTCTTTCCAAACAAACAGTGTAAAATGATATCAGAAAATGAAAGATCCTCACTTCAATCTCAGGCTCCGGTGGCTCATCCTCATATCTAAAGCAACAAGTTGATCAACACGATGATTACAATATAATTTTTGTTTAGAATTTTCTTAATCTATTGACAATGAATACATTTGTAGATACAGTTACTCAAATCTAAATCCTCTAAAAATAATATATAACATTCTTTTTTATTAAATCAACGATTCAGTTTAATAGCTTAAAATGCCGAATTTGAGATTTCTTTTATTAATCCAAAACTTCAATAGAAACTAGAAAACCCAATCGTGAAAATCAATGAAGAGAAAATAGAAGAAAAGAAAGAGAGAGAACCCCATGTCCATGTCATTATAGTCATCGTCTGCCATTGTTGAGAATTTGCTAAAGCTTTGGGAGTGTCAACTCTTCAAGTCCCTGGCGTAAAGATTTACTTCCTTTGTAAAAGCCCTAGTCCAAACATTGGAGGTTTATAAAAATCAATCCTCCGTATCTATAGCCGGATTTTAACTTTTGACTCGAACAAACCCTTTAACTGAATTTAAAAAAGGTGAATAAAACTTTTGGCTCTTGACTTTCGCTTCAAACTGCAATTTGACTCTGAGTTTGTTTGTATTGCAATTTGATTCCTACTTTTGGCATTAAGATACAATTTAGCCCTGTTGAAAAGTTAGAAATCAATGAATAACATCTGATAATTTTTCATTTAAGCTCCATGTGCACTACATTACAACCAGCTTATATAGAAGCTAGCATTCTTAAAGGTTTACCTCGTGACTATCAGCCGTTTGTGGTTGTTCTAACAACTATGCAAAAATCGGTAACTCTTGATGCTTTATACACTATGTTGATGGATGCTGAAACGCAGTTGGCATGTTTTGGTGAGTCACTTGAGCCTTTTCCTATGAGTGCTCATATGGTTGAAGGGAAAGTTTCAGGAGGATTTGAAGATCAGTCTGACTCGAGGTCATCTTCTCGACAGTCGTACTCTTGTGGAAGGTTTTCTAGTCGAGGAAGGGGTCAAACAAGGCTGCAGTGTCAACTGTGTGGAAAAAATAGATATCTGGTCGATCAATGTTGGCATCGATTTGATGAAAACTTTCCTGGTGTTACTGCCAATAGCAACTCATATTCAAAAGATGATTCCAGTGTTGCTTATTATTCTGTGAATGACAACAAGAGTACTGGATGTGAATATTGTTTTACAAAACGAACTGGATTCAAGGCATCAGTTCATTACAAACCATATTCTTCTTGTGAACAATGAGTTATGGATTCAGGTGCTACACATCATGTTACTTCTGATGGTGTGAACATTAGTCAATCAGTTGATCTTGATAATCCAGGTAAACTTCTTGTCGGTAATGGAGTTGCTTCAGAAGTTGAATTTGTTGGCTATGCATCTTTGAATTCATCCTCTCGACTATTATTGTTAACTGATTTGTTGCATGCACCACAAATAACCAAGAATCTGCTCTCGGTGTCAAAGCTTGCTAGGGATAATAATGTCTTTCTCGAGTTTCATTCTCATGAATGCTTTGTTCATGATGAGAAGTCTGGTGCAGTCTTACTTCGAAGCTGAGAAGATAGTGGTTTATATGTTTTTGGTGTGCACTCTGCAGTTGATAATGGTGCTAGGGCAGAAATCAATTCAACATAGTTGTCAAAAAATGTGTATGATCTGTGGCATCAGCGGTTGGGTCATCCCTTGCATGATAGCCTAGTTAAAGTGTGTCAAGAACTGAATGTAAAACTTCCATCAAGACATATGGGAAAAAGTCATAAGTTACCTTTTCCTGACTCTACTTCTGTGTATGACACTCCATTTCAGCTAGTCTTTACATATTTATAGGGGCCCTCTCATGTTGTCTCAAATGGCTATAAGTATTATGTGACATTTTTGGATGCATGCACAAGACATTCTTGGTTATACCTACTGCATGATAAGTCTCAAGCCATTGTTGCATTTAAAATGTTTCAGCAAATGGTCAAGATTCAATTCAATTTACCTATAAAAGCAATCCAAAGTGAATGGGGAGGAGAATATCAGAGTCTGTCAAGGTATTTACTTAGTTGTGGCATCTCTCATCGTTTAACATGTCCACATACCTCGGAACAAAATGGAGTAGTTGAACGCAAACATCATCATGTGATTGAACTTGCTCTTGTACTTCTTGCACAAGCCTCCTTTCCATTCAAGTTCTGGGCTTATGCTGTTGTTACAATTGTCCATTTAATCAACAAGATTCCTACAAGGGTTTTAGAAGGAATATCTCCCTTTGAAAATTATTTTAGAAGAAACCTTATTATGGATAGCTAAGGGTGTTTGGATGTTTGTGTTTCCCTCATTTGAGACCCTATCTGAAGCACAAGTTAAAGTTTTTATCTAAACCTTGTACTTTTTTAGGGTATAGTCCACAACGTAAAGGCTTTCAATGCCTTGTTCATACTGGTCAAGTATATATAACTAGACATGTGGTTTTTGATAAACTACATTTTTCCTTTTGTAAAGTTGTATGAGAAGGTTTCTAATGAATCTAATACTTCTAGTTCATCTAGCTCTTTACAGATTGTGGCAGATGTCAATAAATTTCAACATATGTCTGATGAGGAATCTGATCATAATTCAATGGCTAACAACAATCAAGAAATGGTATCCAGTGATGGTTCCAGTTCTAGTTTGGCAGAAGCAAACAAGAGTTAAACTGAAGCACAAGAAGATGTAGTTGATATTTTGAGTGGTGCACATGATGAGGTTGTACATACGATGACTAGTATACCACAATCTGCTACTGCTTGTGTCCCAAGTACAGGTGGTGACTCTGGTATATCAATGAACACACACTCGATGATGACTAGGAGTAAATGTGGTGTGTTTAAACCAAAGATGTATGTCAGCTCACTTGCTGATGAAGTGCCACATGATATTTATGTTGATTTTAAATCACCAAGGTGGAAAGAAGTTGTTCAAGCATAATTTAATGCACTACAGTCAAATAAAACTTGGACTCTCGTCAGGTTACCTGAAGATCATGTTGTTGTTAGCTGTAAGTGGCTGTTTCGAGTCAAAAAGAACCCTGATGGGTATGTTCAAAGGTATAAAGCCAGATTAGTTACAAAGAGTTATTCACAAGTTCCATGTTATAACTTCAAGGATACATACAATCCTGTCATCAAGTTTGCCACTTTAAATATTGTGCTTGCTATTGATGTGGCAAGAAAGTGGTCAATTAGACATGTTGATGTAAATAATGCTTTCTTAAATGGTGAGTTAGCTGAGATGTTTTCATGCAACAACCACCTGGATTTGAGGAATATGGTGTTGATGGAAGTTCTCTTATGTGTAAACTTAGTAAGGCATTGTATGGCCTTAGACAAGCACCAAGAAACTGACATGACAAACTCAAAGCAAGTTTGATTCGATTGGGGTTTACTGAATCCAAAGTTGATGTGTCTTTATTTGTCAAGAACGATGCCAGCTATCATATATACATACTTGTTTATGTGGATGACATTATAATTACAGGTGACTCTTCTCTTAGTATTGATAGTGTTGTTCATGCTCTGAGTCATGATTTTTCCTTGAAGGATTTAGGAAGCTTGGATTATTTTTTGGGAATTGAGGTTGTTGAGTTAATCGATCGATGAATCGGCCAAGAGGGGGTGAATTGATAATAAAAATTTTGGTGGAAGCTTTTGCAGAAAATTGAAAATATTTGCATAGCGATTTAGAGTGGTTCGACTTTCTCAACCAAAGTCTACGTCCACTACCTTAGCTATCCACACTAAGGATTTTCCAAAAAAAATACTAATTTGTTCTTTCTTTTGAGGAAAAATATTAACCTTACATCTCCCTCAAGAATTATAACCCAAATTCTTAAGAACACTCTCTCCCAAAGAGAAGAATACAGATTTCGCAAACTTACAGAAAAATCTCAGAAGGCAAGATGTTTGCACAATTCTAGAACAAAGAAAGAACACTCAAGAATGAATACAATTGAGCACAAATGGTGTTCTTGAAAGCAAAATGAATATTTAATGGAAATAGGCTTGAAAATGCTCAAACAATAAGTTTAAGGCTTTCTCTTTGATTCTCTCTTTGATTCTCTCTTGATTCTTGTTTCTTTTTTTTTTCATCAATGGCTCCTAAGCTTGTTTAAATACACCTTAAATCACTTCTGAACGTTGAGGATCATTGGTGAAGTCAATAGAGCTGTTGTGGTGTGAATACCAATTAAAATATCACTTTGGAGCGTGGGTGTATCGGTACACTATCTAGGTGTATCGATGCACTCAGTGTAAAATTCAAATATTTCGACTGTTGGTTGACTTAGTGTATCGGTACATCCCAGGTGTATCGGTACACTAATTACATTCGATGTTTCTCGGAGCCAAGAGTGTATCGATGCATCTGTTGTGTATCGGTATACAAAATGCATTTGATGTTGGGGTGTATTAGTACATCAAAGAGTGTATCGGTACCCAAATTACATTCGATATTGGGGGTGTATCGATACATCCAAGAGTGTATCGGTACCTCCCTTTGTAAAAATCATTTTTGACCCGATTGAGGTTCGAAATACTTTGTAAAAATTGTTTCAAAAATATTTTAAGACTAAAACACAATTTTACACTTAAGCAAGGATTAAAATTGACATTTGAAAGCTTAGAGTAATATTTTTTATATTCGAATAATTTACTCGAATATTAGTTTTGAAATCGAATATAAAATCTTAAAATTCAATAGGACTTTATTTGTTATATCGAAACATGAAAATGTTTTCAACAATCTCCCCATTTTTGATATAACAAAATATTTTAGTAATTTTAAGATTTTCTTTGAAAACTATTTTTGAAATCATTTTTGAAAATTACTCCACCTTACTTTATTTCCCCCCCTTTTTGTTAAATCAAAAAGATTCTATAAAACGTTTTTAAACAAGTTTTTTTAAGAAAATAACCAATTGATTTAAATATAGATATAGCTTAAGCTGCTAAGATCACAATCAAGAGAAAGATTAGCCATTATTTCATAATCAATATTAATAAATAATGTGTAATGGTAAATTGATCATATTCAACTAAAATGTAAATGATGCAAAAAACTAATAAAACCAATATAAATTAATCAAACCAAATTCAAACAATCAAAACCAAATATATATATATATAAGCATTCAAGTTCAAACATCCTAACATCCAAAATATATCAATCCAAACATATCCAAAATGTTTTAACAATTAAGTTCAACTCAACTTAAGAAAACAAAGCAAGAAAAGATTTGATCATCCATCGGTGGAGCAGGAGGTGATAAATGTGCCCATATATTGGCCACATCACATGTAAGCACATCGACCCTTTTGTCCATAGCATCGAATCGATGATTCATCGCTTCGTTGTTAGCAGTTAAATGAGACTCGATGGATGCAAATCTCATGTCAAGTGTCTCTATGAACGATCGAAAATATGGAGGCATCTGACTCTCTTGTTGTACCGGCTCGTCCTCGGGTACGTGATCATCTATATCACGCATGAGTTCTTCAAGCTCGGATCATCGTCTGCAGCCGGTGCTGGAGGAGTTCGTGAAGAGCTAGCACCCGATGTTTTCTCGGTGGATCGAACCCATTGATCCTTTTCCCCGGACCATCCTGATTTCTTCAAGGTTGTGAAATTTATTTGGTTCTTAAGGGGATGACTACATCAAGCGAGACCCTAAGATTGAATTTGATAAATAAGTTGCTAAAAAGACAACCGTAAACTAAGGTTTCTACATATTTAGAGAGAATGTTGTTCACGGTTTTGACTAGCTCACCGAAAATGATTTGTGGCAAATTTATTTTCTTTTTATTTTGGATACAATGTATCCACCATAAATCTATAACTATAAGGGTGGAGTATCTACCTCCGGATGGTATAAACCACCAAGAGATTATCAAGTGGAGGAATCGCTCGTGATAAGTCAATAAAGTACTCGCACTTGCCTTAGCCTTATATCGGGTAGCCACAATCTCTTTTTCGTTATCTAAACCATTGTTATCTAATTCAAAAATATTAGTGATTGTGTCGAAGTCAATATAAACAAATTGGCCTAAGAGATAAGACTGAATACCTATGGTTTCATTACGAGACTCGTTTTGGACACAAACCATATTGAAATAGAAAATGTGGACAAATTGGTGATAAACAATCGGTTTAAGCTGAAATAGTTTATCAAATTTCCAAGATAGCAAGGTAGGAAGATATTCAAAATTCATATCAATCATTGCTTGGATAGAAGGGAAAAGTTCTTCCCAGATTTTATATGACTCAAATAAATTATGGAACATATGATAAAGATTTTCTCTACGACCAGGTTCATTAAAACAAAAGTTTAGAATGGTCATTTCCGGTTCATTTGGGTTTGGATTTAGATTGGGATGTGGAATAGGAGGTCGGTTTTGAGATTGGTTTGAACGACTAGATGAAAACCTAGGGCGTTTAGAGTGAGACATGGTTAAAGATCAGAATGGATAAGGTTACCTGCAATTTTAAAACACATGTATGCAATATAATCAATCCCAAAACTCAATATGAGTTGCAAT